TATGGTCCTTCCTTTGATCCCCGGGACCACAAAACCAAAAACAAAAACCAACAACATAAAGCTTTCAGGGAGGAAGGATCTAAACATTTTGTAAATTCATGTTTTAAAATAAGCTTCATTCCTGGCTATATTTTAGGTCTCTTTTCCCCCACAGGTAGGTCATGATATTTTGTAATATTTTCTCTCACCATATAAACATTTTTAAATCTTAGAAACAATAAATAGATATAAATAAAAACCACATAAATACATTTAAAACATTTTATTTAGCCCATAAAATCCAAACTCATTTTCCAGAAAAATTCCCTCAATAAAATGACATAAATAGCCCCCCACACACTTTTTTTTTTTATTTTTTAGTGCTGGAGTTTGAACCCAAGAACTTGTGCGTGTGGTGTAGGCACTCAACCAACCAAACTATATCCCCAGAAAACCCCTTTTTTCTTAAGTGGTAGTATACTCAGAATTTTCCATTCTATTTGATTTTCAGCTATTTTCAYTGTGTGTGAATTCCAATAATCTCATCTCAGTCTTTGGTCATATGGTCAGAAGGTTATACTGTGAAATTTAAAGATTGTTAAGACTACAGTTTTCAATGTTCTCTGTGACATTTCAAAGTGTAATACTATATTACAATTGAACATTTTCTGCTCCCAGCTAAACTTGCATGTTTTCACTTCCTCTGATTACTCTCAGATTGTGAAAAAGAGAAGGGAGGGTTAAAGTAGTAGAAAGATTTGAAAGACTGCAATTTTGAATTTCTTACCTTGGCTTCCATGGTTTTGTAGCCAGCCCTTCTAAAATGGTTTGCAAAATTATGTATGTATTTGCATATGTGCAATTTTATGGGAGAGAATCATGACCTAGAAATAATTAAGAACTACTGTGATGTGGGAGGCCAACCTTACGGGTGACTGAGTTACACTCCCTRGCTGGGTGCTGAGGCGCTCAGTCACAGAAATGGGTGTGTCTTGCTACAGCCCCATGGGTGAAGCTATGCTCACCTGTTCCTTTGTAATATAACCCCTTGCCCTGTTTAGGATAGAATCTTCCATGGAAGTGCCTTGTGTGTGTCCCTTCCTCTTACTGTGCCCTTGGGTGTGGCCTACCCAGGTGTCAGTCAATCTGCTGACAGTGGACATCATGAAGATAGACTCAGCCCCCTGAAACCTGACCCCTTGCCTTATTTGA